CCCGCGGCCCAGTCTCTGAGTGGTTGACCTGACCTGCTTCTCCTGCCAGCACCCTGGTACCCTCACTCCTGCCGTGGGATGCCCCAGGCAGGACTGTTGCAAACAGGAAGCAACACTTTCCCCCTCCAAAATGGGCACATGCCCCCCTCCATTTGTTCCTTTCCTGGAAAATCCTGAGGCTCAGCTCCAGAGGCCCCAGATCCCCAGCCCACCTCAGCTCAGCCTGGACTGGGGCCTGAGCCGGGCCTGACGTGGCAGGAGGCCAACCACAGCCACAGGCCCGCCCGTTCAAAGCCTCTGGGTGCAGATCCACCTCCCCATCCAGCACCTTCTCTAACCTCTAGCCTGCTTGGCAAGGCGCTCACTCCCTGCCTGGCTCCCACCAGGCCCTCTGCGAGGGACCAACCCTTCCCCCTCTGCCTTGGGTGCCTGGGTCCAGCTCCAGGCTCCTCTAGGACCAGGTCCACCCTCTGCCAGACTGTGAGCCTGCTGCCCGCCTAGGAGGATGACAGGGGAAGGGACTGACCACTGAGATCACCTGAGCACATACTGTGTGCCTGCTTAACATCCGCTGTCCCAGGCGGCCAAGCTATGTTTGTGTTGCTCTTAAGAAAGGCCTGAGTTGGGACACCTGGGTGGCTCAGCGGTTGAGCGCCTGCCTTTGGCTCAGGGTGTGATCCCGGGGTCCTGGGATCGAGTCCCACATCGGGCTCCCTGCAGGGAGCCTGCTTCTCTCTCTACCTGTGTCTCTGCCTCTCTCTCTGTGTCTCTCATGAATAAATAAATAAAATCTTAAAAAAAGAAAGAAAGAAAAGAAAAGAAAGGCCTAAGTGCTGGGTCAACTGCCCTGACTCAGACAATCCCATCACCTGTAAAACGGGTCACACTAATGCAACCACACCAGTTACCCGAAGGATTTGCCAGGGCCCCGTGTGCCTCTGTCCTGAGCAGTTTCTCAGCTTTCTCCCCAAGGAAGGATGTCACTGCCTCACTAGCAGGACCATCCTCCAGGTCACCGCACCTCTCTGGATGTGTGATAGGGACATTCCTGCCCATCCCAGCTGAGATCTCCACAGTCCCCCTCGCATCCCCCCATCCAGTGTTTATAGGGAAAATACGTGAGTCCCATCTCTAGTGGGAGTTCCATTCTAATTTCTAATCACATCACCCCCTTACGTGAAGCGCTTCCATGGCTTCACACCGCCCTGCAGGTGGAGTCCCCTCCTCATCTGGTCCTGGGCCTGCAGACTGGTCCCCGCCACATGCAGCTGCATCCAGGCTCCTGGAGGGCCACACACCTTCCTCCTCAGGGAGCTCGCACACCCCGCTTCCCCCTACTTGAAATGCTCTCCGCCACCTCCCCCTTCACCTTCCTAACTCACCTTCCTAACTGCCTTCAGATTCGGGCTTAGGTCCATCTCTTCTGGGAAGCCTCCTCCACCTCCCCATGGCTTGGTAAGACCTTCTGTTATATGGCCCTGTGGCACACCCTAAGTCCCCAGCCTGCTACCACAGCGGGACTCTCTGTGTGGCTTTCTGTCCGATGTCTGTCTGCCTCTTTAACCTGGGAGCACCACGAGGCCAGAGACCATCAGGTATTTTCTATTTTATCCCGAATGCCTCGAATGCCTCCTGCATGCTTTGGCCTTTGGCAACGCTCAGTGAATGGGGAAGGAAAGAAAGAATGGGGGAGGGTGGGTCGAGACTGGGACAGTCCCTAGAGCCCCACAGCCTGACTTCACTGTCCCCTGCCCTCCTCCCCAGCTGTATGCCCCTTGCCAGCGCCCCCTCCCTCCACACAGCCCTCACCATCCAGACTACCCTGCAGGTGCAGCCCTCGGGCTCCCTGCCAAGCCACCTCCCCCTCCAGGGAGCCCTCTGTCTGGGGGTTAGGGGGTCTCACACCAGGACCGTTGGCGCCCGAACAGGGCCGTTAACCCCTCCACTGTCACTTCCCCCATGGGATAGTCCCTGGGAGCTCAGAGCCTGAGGCTTGGTCTCTGCCAGGCCAGACAGGTGCCCTGGGCACTCCTCTACTTTGTCTGACTTCATCAAGGAAGCACTGACAGCTCCCGGGCTCTGAGTAACTCCATTCACCCCTTTGGATATCCTCCCTGTTTCCTGCTTGTTTCTGGATCATCTCTCTCTCCTTCTAACAGATGAGGAACTAAAGCCCACAGGGAAATGGGCTGGCTGGTCCAGGCTCACACGGCAAGAAATACAGTGAGGCTGGAACGTCAGCCCAGGAGCACAGGCTTGTGTCGGACTCTGGGCTCCTTCTAGTCCTAGTGCCTGGAGGAGGGCCTGGCCTGAGTGCCGGATAGTCATTTGCTGCAGTACCACGAGATGGAGCCGGCTGGCTGTCCCCGGGAGCTGGCAGGCTCATGCCACCCTCCATGCCTCACTTCTCTGAGCCCTGGCACACTCGTGTTGTTGCTGCTCAAAGCAGAGGTAAGGCCGTCCTTGTCTTTGCCTCCTGGTGGGGTTGGGGGAGCAGTACTCGTTCACATGATGCAAGGGGCTAGAGCCGTGGTGCACACACTGGTCTCCCAGCAGGTAACAGGTGCCCCAGGTGGCACAGCCACTGGAGACCAGGTGGCCTCAGTGTCTCAAGGGACACGGACGCCAGATGGGAACAAGGGAGGTGCTCAGGGACTCACAGGTTTGGATGTGTCCCTGAGGCTCAGGAAACCATCCTCTAGATGGTAGCAATGATGCCAACTCCTCTCTGGGTGCAAAGTGTGGGTGGGCCCTGTGCTGGGTGCTCCCCACGCATCCCCTCATTTACATCCTCCAGTGCCTGCAAGGCGGTGCCAGTATCCTCTGCCCTGCATGTAGAGGGGGAAAGGGCCCCCCGCCAAGTTCCCTAGCAGCTGGGGTATGGAACCTAGGATGGTCCAGAGCTGAAGAGCAAGAGCAAGGACACCAAGGCCACCATGTGGGTAGGAGATGGAGGTGAAAGACCAGCTGAGTCAGGGCTCTCCCACTGCAGGGAACAGAAACAGGCTCAGGCACATCTCGCTTTTATGCGAGGGTTTCCTGGGTGCCATGAGCTGCCAAGGCAGAGAGTATAGCCAGAGAGGGACAACAGAGGATGACCTCCTGCGGCAGATTAAAAGTAAAATTCCTCTTGCTCTTTCCCCATGGAAGAAGCCGAGTGTAACTCCCCACCCCTTGCATCTGGGCTGGCCTAAAATTGCTTTGACCAAGAAAATGCAAGGACATCTGGATGGCTCAGTGGGTTAAGCATCTGCCTTCGACTCAGGTCCTGATCTCAGGGTCCTGGGATTGAGTACCAAGTTGGGCTCTCACCTCAGCGGGGAGTCTGCTTCTCCCTCTCTGTCTCCCTCTCACCCTCCCCCAGTTTGTGCTCAGTCTTTCTCTCTCAAATAAATAAATAAAATCTTTAAAAGAGAAAGAAAGAAAAGAAAATGCAGCCAAAGTCACACGGTGCAAATGTGGGGCGCCAGACCTAAAAGGCCTTCAGAAGCCCTGAGCTGCCCTGTAAGAAGTCCAGCTCCCCCGCTGGAGAGCCCATGGGGACATCCGTGGAGAGAGAACTAGAGAGAGACCCAGCCTTCCCGCCCCGTCTCCCCAGAAGGTGGTCGCAGGAGTGGGCCTGGCATAGGCGAGCAGGCTGTGCTGGAGGCTCCAGGCTGGTTGAGACCCAAACGAGTGTGACCCCAGCCGACCGCACAAGCAGCAGAAGAACCACCAGCAGAGCCCAGCCAACATACAGAGTCATGTCAATCACAGATGGCCGTTTTGAGCCACTAAGTTCTGGGGGGCACAGGGGTGTAATTCCACCTGTTTGCACGGCCTCTATGGAAGGCCTTTCAGGATGGTGAGTCTCTCATAAAAGCCTTTTACAGGCTCTCAAGTGTGAATCTAGTAGTAACACTAAAAATGCTCCATTACACAGGACTGGCTTCAGAAAACCACCCAGGCTCCACTCTAGGAGACAAGGGACTGAGCTGGCAGAGGGCATGGGTCCAGAGGGGACTGGGCGAGGCCAGCAGACCCCAGGGAGGGCTGGGGAGGGACATAAAGGTCGAGGGTCTTTCTCATGTGCCATCCCTGGGGTGGGGACTGCCACCATCTTTGCTGGGGTTGGAGGGGGAAAATAGAGTACTCCAACATCGGTTTGGGATGGGGAGGAACCTGGGGCCAGCCCAGGGACAGCTGGGACCCTCCCAGCATCTGTAACACACACACACTCAGGCCACAGGCTGCTGCTATAACCTAAACCCACCCTCTGTTTCCCAGCTGGGGTGAGGGTGACAGGGCACTCTACTCAACTCTAAGTTCCTTAAGGGCAGGGACTGTGTCTGTCTCATAGGCCACCATCTTGGCACTGCCTGACATGGGCCTGTGCTCTGTGTTTGTCGTCTGCATGCCTGAGTGAATGAATCGGCCTATCTGGTGCCATGGCTCTTTTTCTTCAATGTCTTGCAGTTGTAGATTCAAGTCCCATCTCTCCAACTGACGCTCTCTGAGCAAATCATCCGAACACCCAGACACAGCATCCCTGTGTGTATAATGGGGGGGGGGGACTCAAGTCTGTTGGGGCTGGATTGCTGGAAGAGGAAGTGAGACCCTGTAAAGGCAGGACGATCCCAAGCTGGCTCTGGAGTAGCTGCCTTCACCTCAGTTCCCACCACTGCTCCCCCCCTGCAGGGGTCCCCCTGCACCCGCTGCCCTCACCATCCTTCGTCTTGCTCCTCAAATGACCACTCTGCCTCTAGCCCCATTCAGGGCTTAAATTAAATCATCTTTAATTGTTTTTCAAAAGGGAATAGAAAAATCAGGAAAGAGATTCACAGCACTCGCAGTCAGGAAAGGGTTAACTAAAAAAATAGGAATATATTAAGCTTTCGATTGAAAAAAAAATGCAAACACAGTCCCTCTCACGCTCACCCCTGTGTTCTCACACACGCATCCCTGCTCCAGATACACGCCCGCCCTCAGGCAGGCACGTGCACACAAACACACACACCCACACACACACACGCTCCCAAGGCTGCCACTCCTCATACACGCATACATGTGCACGCTACCTCGCACATACATGCTCCCAAAGGCTGCCACGCTCCTAGCACACTCACCCATGCACCCAGCAGGGCTGGCAGGATGTGGAAGAGGGGGAGGCCTGTGGCCTGCCTCTCCCCAACTCCCGTCACCGAAATGGCAAAACTAGACTAAACTCAGGGCTCTAGGGGACACGCGCAGGACTCCGTGGGCTGCATTTGGGGTGGGGAGACGGAGAGGCCGCGGCGGGGACAGGCAGCCTCAGACGACCCTGTTCTCCAGGACGGCCAGCCGCTTACTCACAGCTTCCAGTGGACTCAGGGTTAAGGAGAGGCACAGGCTGACCAGAGCAGGGCACTGATGGCTGTAGCGCCTGCACCCGGATCCCACTTCCTGTGCTCTCCCCCACCTCCCGCAGAGTCCCTCTTCCAGAGAGTTCTCTCACTCCATCTACAGCATGTGTTCTCCCCAGTGTCAAAACTTACCCATTCATGGCCCTCAGAACCAGCTAGTTACAAGCTGCCTAGTCCTGCCCAGGGGCAGCTTCAGCCTGCTGGGTCCCGCACCTGGGCCCCCACCTCGTCCTGAGCCAGGGGAGCTGTTCCCGGCCCAGCCTCATCTGAGTGGAGACTGCTATTAGTTGTGTTGCCAAGAGCCTGAGAAATGGGGAGTCCACAGGCACCATGTTTTCCTGAGCACAGCTAGGACTCTGCATGTGTGTCCAGTGTCTAGATCTTGGCCTCTGCCTCAGTTTCTCTGTTTACCCTCTTGGAGCCTCTGCTTTTGACAGGATCAGCATCAAAGCTGACGCCAGCCCACCTGGCCGGAGTCCAGCCTGTCTCCAACAGGAGGCAGAGGCCCTACCTGGGACCCCCCACACAATGGGCGTGGCTCCCTCTCCTCATCCTCCCGCCCCACAGTGGCCTCTGGGAAAGGATATGTTTCCTGGTCAGGGCCTGCAGCAGCCCCTCCACTTTGGTCTGGAATTTCACAATGGACTCGCAGGCACACGGGTCTTCCTCTGGAGTGGACAGGAAGTAGGAAAGAGAAAGGGGAAGGTGAGTGGTGGCCTGGCAGGAGGGCGAGGAGCCATCACAGCCCAGGGCCAGGACTAGGGAGTCTTGGGGGTGTGTGGGGGGGACCTGGGAGATCTGAGAAGACGGAGACACACGTAGGGTTCTGAGGTAGAACCCCGAATGTCTTCCCACCCCCTCAGAGCCCTGATAAAACCTCCAATAATAGCCTCTCCGTGCTGGTCACCTACTGCCCGCAGGGCACGGCTGCTAGGGCCGTCTATGTCATCTCAGCGACTTCATCCAACACTTCGGGTTTGAAGTCAATTAATGTCATTTTACAAATAAAGAACCAGAGAAGTGAAACAGACGTGACCGTGGCCAACAGCTAGCTAGTGTCAGAGCAAACATGCAAACCCAGGCATGCCTGGCTCTGCAGTCCGTACTCTCTACCACTGGGAGGCCCCGGGGAGGTAGCAGGGCTCAAATCCTGGCTCCTCCGGTTATTAACGATTGTTCCACCCCTCCAGGCTGGGTTTCCTGTCTGCAAAATGGGAGTAATAATATTTCTACCACTTAGGATCGGATGATTAATGTTTGGAGAGCACTAACACCAGTGCCATGCATGTGACAAGCATTCAATATATTCCACATATGTTTGCTGGTTGTAAACGTGAGACTGGCCAGCCCTCCTCCAGGTTCTAACCCAGGTGCCAACCCAGCTCCTGCTTCTCCCTACCCACATCCAGTTCCAGGATGGCTCCACACTGGTCCCCACCCCAGGGCCCCACCTGCCCCTCCCATCAATGCCAACTCTGGCCTCACTGACCCACGCAGATCTTCTTCTGCAGTCTCTTGCCGATCTGGTTGATGGTCTTGAAGTCAGCGGTGTAGAAGTAGTGCTCTGCCACCGGCTCTGAGGCGATTTCCCTCAGCTCGTCCTCCACGGCGTTGCCCACACCCACAGCAAACATCTTAAAGCCTGCCAGGAGGAACACGACGAGTGACAGTGACCCTGGGGCCAGGCAGCTGTGGCTGAGCCTCCTGGGGAATGCCCAGGCCGTCAACACCAGATGCCTTCTGGTGGCAGCTTCTGGAATTACAGGCACAGTGCCTAGGACAAAGATACTGAGGAAAGAGCACTCACTGAGACCTGTACTGATTCCCTGGCCCGGGAGCTTTGGGATCCCATATAGCCCCGTAACCAACCATCTGCCGACTATTATTATCCTCATTAAATAGGTGATAAAATGGAGACTCCGGCTTGTCCCAAAGTGGGGCTGCCTTCCAACAGTTGGTGCCCTGTTGGGAACATTCAACTGGAAAATTTCTAAGCCCCACCTACAAAAGGGCCATTGAAACCAGCTTCTTACTTTTCTGGGGCCTTCATTTTCTCATCACTGATAAAAGAGAGTTGGACAAACCCATCCCTCCTCATTCACACTGAACCGAGGTTTAGGGCACCACTAACAGAATAAACTCGAGTTGAGCTGTTCCATACGTGCTCCCGGCCATCAGTGGTGTTCAGGGTCCAGGCATCACCTACCAAGGTCCTTGGCTTTCTTGGCAGCATCATTAATGTAGTCCTGGCTCCGGCCATCCGTGAAGACGATGCCCACCTTCTGGGCCCCAGGCCTAGCCCCGCTGGACACAGTGAAGGAATTGTCGATGAGGTACTTGAGGGCAGCCCCGGTCATGGTGCCCTTCTCCATGTACGACATGTTCCGCACAGCCGCCTTAATGTCCTTCTTCGTGTGGAAGCGGCCCAGCGGGAACTCCTGGCGGACGGAGCTTGAGTACTGCACCAGCCCCACTTGTGCCAATTTGTCTGACACGTCCAGCGTGTCCACGATCTGGTTGATGAACTTCTTCACCAGCTCAAAGTTCTCTGGCCGCACACTTTTGGATCCATCAATGAGGAAGACCAAGTCAGTGGCCGAGCTGCCACCACCGCCACTGCAGACTGGGAAGGGTAGGAAGGCGAGGAGATGAAGCATAGGGGCCACTCATAGTCAGGAACCCATCACACACCAAGCTCAATAGGGAGGATTATCCCATCCCATTTTTATCAGCAAAACTCCCTCTACAAAGCCAAGGTTATGGTGTTGGAAACAGAAGCTCCCGAAGCCATCAAATTGTACAGCTCAGAAGGGTGGCGCCAAGATTTGAACTCAAGCTATAAAACTCCTTCTGCCATATTAAACCCACCGCCCACCGTGACAAAAAGAGGGACAGAAGTCAGAAGATAATTCTCTGCAGACACCAAGTTCTAGAAGGCATCTAGAAGGCATCTATCATTTCTGCAGACTAGTCCAGGAGCAAAGCACAGAGAGGCTCGAATGGGCTTCCTGGAGGGTGGCCAAGCCCCTTCTCTCCCCTCCCCGCCTTCCCCCCGGCTGGGCTGCGTCCAGCCCACTGACCGTTGCACGTCTTGCCGTCACTGTTCAAGGTGAAGCCCTCCCGACAGGCGCAGGTGTAGGAGCCGGGGGAGCTGAGGCACACCTGCTCACAGTCGTGGTCTCCCGTGGCACACAGGTCTGACACCACTGCAGGCGCAAGAGGGGCTCAGAATCTCACGGCCACACGGCCTTGGACATCCCAGCCAGCGTGGACCTTCACACACTCTGGGAAACCGAGGCCCCCAACCGGATGAGGCCCGAGCCCCAGACCCCCAGCCCAGGGCCGGAGCCACCGGCCAGCCCCGCGCGGACTCGCTGGGCCTGGCCTGGTGTCTGACTCCGCGGGGGCCCTCCCCGGCCCCGGCCCCGGCCCCGCCCCCGGCGCAGACTCGGCCCCGCCCCCCGGCCCCGGCCCCGGCCCCGGCCGCCGGCCCCGCCCCCCGGCGCAGACTCGGCCCCGCCCCGGCCCCGGCCCCGCCCCCGGCGCAGACTCGCCCCGCCCCCGGCGCAGACTCGGCCCCGCCCCCGGCGCAGACTCGGCCCCGGCCCCGCCCCCGGCGCAGACTCGGCCCCGCCCCGGCCCCGGCCCCGCCCCCGGCGCAGACTCGGCCCCGCCCCCGCCCGCCGGCCCCGCCCCCGGCGCACCGCAGAGGGCCTCCTGGAACTTCTTGGACAGCTTCTCGATGACGCTGTAGCTCTCCACGTAGTCCACGTGTTCCTCCTGCGGCTCGCTGGCCATCTGCCGCAGCGTGGCCTTGTCCACGCGGCCCACGCCGATGGCGAACAGCTCGACGCCGCTGGCCCGGGCCCGTGCAGACACGTCCCGCACGCTGTCCTGGGGCCTCCCGTCCGTCACCACGATGGCCACCTGCGCCACGCGGGGCGCGTGAGGACCAGGCCTCCCCCTCCCCTCCCCCTCCCCTCCCCCTCCCCCACCCCCACCCCCACCCCCACCCGCCCCCAGCGCGGGGCTGGACCGCGCAGCCCTCCGGGAGCACCCCGCACCCCCCTCCACCCACCCCCGCCGCTGGCAGAAGACGACACTGCGGCCCGAGAGGCGACGTGGCTCGCCCGGGTCACGCAGCTAGTCCGCGGCAGGTGGATGGGATTCCCGGCCAGGGCTTTGCCCCGGGGAGGAGAGCCCGGCTAGCAGGAGAGGAAACAGGTTTCCTCTAACCGAAAGACGGCCGAGGCGCGGTGCCGTCCGACCGGGGCCTGGGGGCGTCTCCCCCATCGGGCAGGCGGCTCTGTGACGGTCGGAGCGCAGGACCACGCCTCCCCCCTCAGACTGGCGGCTCTGGGGACAGAGCTCGCCTGACACCCGTGCGGGACGCCATGCAGCTCCGCGCCTTGGCCGCCAGAGGGCGGGCGAGGCCCATGAACGGCGGCTCTGCCTCCAGGCCGGCCACCCCTCGTCCCGCGACCCCCAGGCCCTGGGCGGGGGGCCGCACCTGCAGGGGGGGGGGCTCGTCTCCCTCCATCCCCCAGGACGCTACTTGCCCTTTCCGTAGGGGAGAGCACTGTCCGCGCCCCTCCCCCAGGGCTCCCCTGCTTGTGCCCTGGGGAGGGAGACAGCAGGGACCCTGGGCCTGGGCCAGGCCCTCACCACCCGCACCTGAGCCTGCCCTGAAGCCAGGGACCTCTCATCTGGGGAGACTCAGCCTCCCGCCCCGCTGGCTGCTTCTCTGCCATGACCTGGGTCCCCACCCTGACCGTAGGATAGTGGTTGAGACAGGCTTGAGCTGGAAATGCGGCTCACCTGCCTGAGTCCTCTAGTGAGACCATTCCTGGTACGGTGCCAAGAAGGCGAAGGACTGCTTTCCCTGTCGCTGCCCTGGCCCCCCGGGGAGGGACCTTGCACCATCCCTTCCCTACCAGAGGCCGAAGGTCGCCTCGCTGTGACTGTCCACTGCCGCAGGCTGCCACACTCCCCCGAGACGCACTGTCTCCTGGAACCCCGACTGTCCCCCTTCAATCCAGCCTCGGTACTCTGAGCCCACCTGGAAGGGGCTTCCCGCAGGTGAATCCTAGGCTGGATGCCCCAGGTCTGGGGGAGTTGGTTCTCTCCGTCCTCATATGACCACCCAAGGCCACTACTCCGATCTGAGCTGACATAATTAACTGGTGACAGACGTCACCACCATCCCCTTCGCTGTCTCTCTCCATTAGGATCACCCCCAGGTCACCCTAGCCTCTCAATGGCAATGGCATCAACCTCACCTCAGCGCTTGTAAATAGTCCCCACAACGGATGACCTGCCTAACAGGCCATTTCTCTGAGGGCTGTAATGCCAGGATTATGTGCTATTGTATGTAGACATTCCTACCACTAATTAACTGGACAAGACACTGAGATCCCCTGTGCCTCAGTTTCCTCATCTGTGAAATGGGGACACCACCTCGGAGCAGGATTGTGTGCATTTGGCACTCGTGCATCAGGCGTGTCCTGCACAGTGGTAAGAAAGTACGTCCCTGAGGCTGAGGGCCTGGGCAGGTAAAAGGCCATTGAGGCTTATGAAGGGGAGGTGCGACCACCGTGGGAGAGAACACCTGACTGGCCCCACAGGCCCTGGGCTGAGTCCCGGAAGTCACACTGTGGGCACCAGGTCTGTGAAGTCCCCATACTGACGTCTGCTTACGGTGCATCACCTCAATTTTCTGAACCCCCATGCTCAGCGGCTTATTAAATAAAAAATGAGCTAACCCTTAGGTGGGACCTGGTGGGGCCAGGCGTTGTTCTGAGCACTCCAAGCTGTCGAGAGTCCTCCCGACAGCCCTGGAGAAGGAGCTGCGTTACTGTCATCTGATGAGTGAAGGGACTGAGCCAAGGAGCCACACGCATGGCTCGGGGTGGCACAGCTAGTCCGGGGGTGGGGGCCCCGATCCAGACAGGTGCCAACATGCAAGCCTCTGGACCGCCTCACTCGGCCTCGGGGCGCCAAGGTTAACTAAATCGAAATAATCAAGCGCTCGCCAGGTTGAGGTCCTGTGGTCAGAGGGTGGGGAAGGATGGGCTCACACCCCAGGTCTGCCAGTTGGCTTAGCGGGGTCTAATACACAACTGTAAGCCAGGTTCAAGAATCACGCAGGTGGTACGCAGCAGGACGCAGGCGGGGAGGGCTGGGACCTGTACCTTGCTGATGTCGGGGGACCTGGCACGACCACCGTCGGCGTCGCCGAAGGCTTTGGTGATGGCGAACTGGATGGCCAGGCCAGTCATGGTCCCCGTGGACAGCGGCTGGATGCGGCGCACGGCCTGGAGCAGCGCGGCCTTGGAGCCGTGGGCCCGCAGCGGGAACTCCTGCTTCACGGCGCTGGCATAGTTGACCACGCCCACCCGGGTGGCATTGGGCCCCACATCCAGCGACTCGATGACCTGCGACAGGAACACCTTCACCTTCTCGAACTCCACAGGCCGCACGCTGCGCGAGCTGTCCACAACAAACACCAGGTCCGTGGGCCGGGTCCGACAGAGGTGCCCTGCGAGGGGACGGGGAGGAGGGGAGGGGCGAGAGCAGGAGACAAAGGTCAGGGGCTACTTAGATCTAGACTTGAGGCCCCTGGCAGTGTGGACTAAACCTGAGCCAGGCCGGTGGGTCCTTCTGTCAGCATGTAGACCCCGGGACAAACTACTTGCCAAAGGCCCCCCACCCCCAACTCAGCCCCGTGGGAAACTCTGAGGCTCAGCTGGCAGCCTCAGGCAAGTCCCTGCACCTCTCTGAGCTGGGTTTCCTCGTCGGTACAGTGACCTGACAACCCCCTCTTTATAGGATCCCTTGGGGCCCGAGCAGGAGCAGGTGTAAGGTGCCACCACGCAGCCGGTGCCCCAGAGGCAACAAAGGAGATGACAGGCTTTAAGACACACTTCTCGGACTTTGGCCCAGAGTGGCTGCCCCAGCAAGAGCAGCATTTCTCCTGGGGAGGGTGGGGAGTGGGGGGCACAAGCCCAGGGACCAGTGCAGGGCCCATCGGCTTGGCCTCTTTCATCTCAGCATCAGAACCAGTCACCAAAGTGAGCCCAGTTTCCCTCAACCCCAAGGAGCCCGCTGGCTGTTGTCCGTGGGCAGGGGACAGGGGCTGGGATTCCTCGTGGCCACCATGGCAGCCTGGACCCAGTGGAGGGGGCTCCTAAGACACATCCCCACGGAGGCGGAGGCATGTCTTTCAGGACATCCCAGGAGGCAGCACCATGTGCTGGGAAGTGCATGGAGCTGGAATGAAGCAGAGCGGGGTTCGAATCCCGGCCCAGCCACCCTGTGGCCCTGGGCAGCTCATGGCACCTTTTAGGAGCTTCAGCTTTTCTCCCGTCCAGTGGGGAGAAAAAGGGTCACCACTTGGTACTGTCACTGGCCTGGCCTAAGAACAGAGCAGAGCCACTCCCAAGTGAGGATGCAGGAAGGCTCAGGAGAGGGAAGGGGTGCTGGCCTGTCCCAGGCCCCCAGCCCCAGCGCCCCAGTATCAGAGTTCCTCAAGGGACCTTAGGTGCAACCACACCATGGTCCCTACTAGTTTAAGCTCCCAATGGGTAAACTGAGACGCAGAGAGGTTAAGGGAGTTAGCCACACCAAGGAGCAGCGGATCAGGAGGCACTAAGTAGACTTAGGCAGGGCGTCCCTTCTTTGGCCTCAGTTTAACCTTCTATACAGGATGAGCCGGGATTCAGTGCCCAAGGCTGAAGCTCTTGGAGCAGTCCAGCAGGTAAGAGCCCACACCCAGATATGCCTGATGGGCTGGTGACAGGCAGATGGAGTCCTGGCCACCCCAGAGCTGCACTCAACGAGGCATGGGCTTGGCCCTGGGCCTGCTGCAGCTCCAGCTTCTGCCTTCAGCCACCCACAAGACTGTGGCCCTTGCAGGATGCATGGTCCCTGAGGGTGGCCTGGGAGCTGAGGAGCCCCAGGGAAGGCTCCGAAGCTGCAGTGAAAGGCCCAATAGAACAGGCTGAGGGTCACCCCTCCCCTGGCCCTTATGAATGTCACCGTTGCTATCTGCTCCTGCATCAGCCCACTGCCACCCCTGCCTCCCTGTCTTCTGCCCCAGCCCCACGTGGACCCCATTTAACCTCTGTTCATCTCAGAACCCAGCGCCCCAAGGCTTTTGGTCAGAGGCCACTCACCCAGTGTCCCCCACCTCACATGGACCCCCTCACCTCTGGACTGGGGGGTGAGGCCCAGTGTGCACGGGACCTGGAGCAGCAGGAGCAGGCCACACAGCACGAGGCTGGAGCCAGAGATGAGCCTCATGGTTCTGGCAGCGCGGGCAGCGGCCGGCACAGTGGTGGGGGCCGGTGGGGGCCCGGTCTTATCAACCTCGCTGCCCAGCCTCCCAGCCGGGCGGCCCCCACTGACGCGGGGGCGGCTGCCCGGGCCATAGCCCCCTTGGAGGGGCGTGGCCCAGGCTGAATGGAGGTGTGTGTGCGCCCAGAATGGGAGGGAGCCACCTGGCCGGGGCTCAAGAGGCCCCTCGGACCACAAGGGCTCCTTTGCCTGCAGAAGCAACCAGAGCTGCAGCTGAAACTCAGGAAATCTCAGGTGGGTGGAGGGTGGCTCCTCCAGGGGTTGGAGCCTGCCCCGGCCCAAAGCTGCCACTCCAAGCCCAGGGAAAGCCCAGCCCATGGCTTCAAGCCCTGGCCCGCACCCTCACCCCCACGCCCCTGCTTCTCACCTGCATCCATTTCCTCATCCAAGGCCCTTCCCCTGCTCCAGCTCAGCTGTCCCCTTCCCCTCCACACCTTCTCCCTGCTGGGCAACTATACCTGGGGTCTCAGAGCTGCCCTGCAGGCCTTTGCACATGCAGGGTCACCCACCCCGAATGCCCTTCCTTCTCTTCACTCTCTGCCTAACAGAATCTTTCAAGATCATCGTTGGAACGAACATGTATGCACAAGGCAGCAGAGAGGACGGTGGGGAGCACAGACTTGAAGCCACGTTACCTGGGTTTGCTATGTGCTACCTTTGTGACCGTGGGCCAGTCGCTTCACCTCTCTGAGCCTACCTCCTGGGGGGGATTAGAGCAGCAGGGTTCTATGAACTGTCTCATTTAATTCCCTTGACAACCCCGACACAGCTACTATTATTACCCCCTTTTTCCAGAAGAAGAACTGAAAAACAGAGAGTAACTTGTCTGAAGTCACACTGCTAGGAAGTATCACTGCCAGGAGCACCTGGGTGGCTCAGTCAGTTAAATGTCCAATACTCAGTTTCGGGTCAGGTCATGATCTCAGGGTCATGGGATCAAGCCCCGAGATGGGCTCTGTGCTCAGAGGGGAGTCTGCTTGAGATTCTCTCTCCCTTTCCTTCTGCCCCTCCCTGCTACCCCTGCCACGCCCCTGCACACATGCACATGTGTGCAATCTCTCTCTCAAACAAATAAATCTTTTTTAAAAAGAAGAAATAGTATCACTGGCCATAATAAGGCCCCAGGCCAGTGCTCTCAGCCACCCCACTTGCGTGGGTGCAGCTCGGTGGAGGTGCCTTCTCCATGCCCACCTCTCCCCTGCTCCTCCTGGATTAGGATCCTCTTCTCCAAAGACACCTGCTATGTGTCTCACCCGTGAGCTGGCAAGAGTCTGATTGATTCATCCCTGCATCTGAGCCCAGCCCAGGGTCTGCATTGGAAGGCAAAAACAAAGGTTTGTAAATAAAAGAACGTCACCAGGGATGGCCCCTGCTGCTGCCTGTGGGTCCAGTAATTGATGGCATAACATGGAAAGAGCACAGGCTTGGCCAACTGAGAGACCCAGGTTCAGATCCCCACCTGTTGCTGAAAAGCTGTGTGACCCAGAGTTGGTAACTTAACCTCTCTGAGCCTCAGCTTATTATCATGTAGTGGGAATGGTAGTTCTTGCCTCCCCTGCCTCACTGGGACCACATGGAGAGGCAGTGAGAAGACAGAAGGAGGGAGATGAGGGTCAAAGGATTATCATCTTTCCAGGGGACAGAATCATTAACATTTAAGACCTGTGTGCCTCACTCCGTGTAAGCTATGCCTCCAAAAGAAATGCACAGACTTTTTTTTTAAGTGACCCAACCAATAGTCTCACAATCTGTAGCAATAATGCAGCCACGCTCTATTACTGTGTCTCCTCGTTCTCCAAACCAGCCTGTGAGGTCAGCAGCTCCAAGGGCATCAGCCCATTTGGCAGATGAGATAACCGAGGCCCAGAGAAGTTCATGACTTGCCTGAAGCCACCCAGCCAGTATAGGGCAGAGCCCAGCCTGGAACCCAGGCCTCATCCCTCTTTGCCCCAGGTTTAGAGAATGAGGAAGCGAATAGCATTTCCCTCTGACGTCTCCCATTTATATTTCATTTATTCGTATCATTCATAGCTGTCCCCAGTTCCAAACACTAGTCGAGGCTGCCAGTCTCTTTTCCCTTGACGACTTTGAAGTGTCACTCTTTTCTCCAAACACACTGCAGGGCAGAAGGACGGGGGTGCCTCTCGCTTCCCAAAACTGGGTCATAAACGTGTTAACCGCCTCCCCCAGGTGTCAGCTCCTTCCAAGTGGGGGTCTGGCCTGACTCAGCCACCGCTGACCCTCGGGACCCGGCGCGATGCTGGAACAGGGTATCGGGCACGACGCTGGAACAGGGTATATCTGGCAAGCAAATGAAGAGATGACTTAAAAGAAGAAGCAGGTGACACACGGGCTCCATTTCCTTGCGAACCACCCAGGGTCAGGCCGGGGTCTGCAGCAGCCGCAGCCCTGCTGGAGCTGCACAGGGAGAACGTGAGCCGCAGCCTCCTGGCCACGTCCCCTCCCCAAGGATGCTCGGGGGCCGCGGCCGAGCTCGGGGTACACGGCTGTCCTGGCCGGGCCAGCAGCTGGGCCCATGAAACAGCTCTTTCAGCTCCACGTCTGAATGGCAGTTCTATGGGCTCCCCGGAGGAACACAGGCGCCTTCTCTGTGTCACCGTCTGCTCATTAGCAGGGCCACAGAAATGTGCCACAGGTACGTTTTCAGGACCAGAGCTAGGCTCCCCCCGAGAAAGGGGCAGCTTTCACATTCCACACCGGGCTGAGAGGGAGGAAGTTCAGCCTATACATTGAGAAAAGAAAATAAATATTTGTGTTTTCAAAATGTGAAGCATCCACCACCACCCCCCCCCCAGGAATGAAAATCGGGAACAGTGTGTCCGGTATGAACCAGAGAAAAAAAATGCTCCCGAGTCAGACGGGCAGCCGTGAGGGCTCCCGCTGTTCCCTCTCCTTGTTTTCACACACCTCAGGTTTCCAGAAACTTAAAGCCTTTAGTGTTTTATCCAGGAGAGGCTCGGCGCTAAAGCGAGGGGCCCGGGGCAGGCGCGGTCGGGGGGCCGGGGCGCAGGACTCCCCCCAGCGGACCCCAAGGCTCCGCTCTTTTCCTGAAGAGCAAACCTGGTTATGTCGCGCGCCCCTGACCAGAGAGGCGACGTGGTCCAGGGCAGCATGCCACCTCCTCCCTGATCCCCCAGCCTCGCAGTTTGGCTGGATCCACACATACCTTTACTCTTATTTATTTACTCTGCTTCTTTAATTAACTCCAAACCAACCAACTCACTTGGCAAGAAACATTCTCCTCCTCCTCCTCCTAAGAAATAACAGCCGTGAAATCTCTGGGTTGATGAACACCTTATAAACGTATTCCAGTAGGCCTTCAGATAAATCCGAAACTAATTAAATTTAACTTCTGCATCCGCACATCACCAAAAAATTACCTTGCGTTCTCCCAGTGGCACGCGTGCCCGACTTTGAGGAATCCCATGGAGCGCAGAGCTTCGGAACCAGACACAGCCGGGCGTGACTCCCTGCGCTGGCTTCAGGCGAAGCCCTTCACTGTTCTGCTCTTCTGCTTCACGTCTGTAAAGTGGGGACCTCAGCGCCCCTGGCACAGGATGGTTGAGAACAACACGGATTAACGTCACATCCAAATCTGTTGTTTCCGCCTCGCCTTCTTGTATTAGTTAGAATAGGACCAGCTGAGCTGCCGCAACAACTAGGCCCTCAGATGGCCGTGGCTTAACACAAGCGTGCGGTTCTCTCTCATGACACAGTCTGGTGCTGGACACGTGGCTCCCCTGCACAGGCTCTTTCCCAAAGCCACCTCCATCTAACTATCCCAGAATTTCTGCGTCTTCTGTTTCCGGCCACGTGAACGAGACAGAGACAGCAAGTGTCTCTCTTAACGCCCTCTGATAAGGAGTGCACATCGCCTGACTCTGCCTAGAAGCCCAGGGGTAGCACGGGGGAGCTATTTAGTGAGCCAGTGACACCCTGTCACCTTCCCAAGTGGGAAAAAAAAAAAAGCCTTTATTGGCCCTATACCACTTCTAGGTGAAAATTCAGGGTCACGTAGGTGACTCCATTGGTTAAGAGGCTGCCTTCAGCTCAAGTCATGATCTCGGGGTCCTGGGATCGAGCTGAGCCACACATCAGGCTCTCTGCTTAGCAGAGAGTCTGCTTCTCCCTCTCCCCCTGCTGCTCCCCTGCTTGTGCTCACTTACTGGTGCTGTCTCTCCAATAAATAAATTTAATTTAAAAAAAAAAAAAGAGGAAAGGAAAGGAAAGGAAAAAGAAAACTCAGACAACCAGGCACTCAAGCCTTTTCACAATCTTTCTTGTCACCTTTTCCAGGTCCCAGTCTCCCTCCTGTCCCCTCCCTTCTCTGTCACTGAGTGAGTCACCACTCCCGCCTCCGTGCTCTCAAAGCATAATTTTTTCCTTCCCCGAAGCAGACTCGACTTCAGGTTTTACTGACTGGTTTTAGTGGCTCTCTTGCCCCGTGAGCCCATGGGGGCCTCCAAGATAGAGGCTCTGCCTTTTGCACCAGCACATGATCCCGAGCTGTGCTCAATAAATGGTGACTTGTTTTGCTTTGGGGGAAAACATAAAATCTTGACTCTGGAGCTCTGAAGGAAACTCAAAGGTCATGTAGAGCAGTATGTCCAGCCTAGCCAACTTCAGACTCACCTGGAGAAGCTGTCGAAAATAAAGTCCATCCATGCTGGCTGCCTTCTTGGGGCCAGAGGGTCAGCCCCCACTCGAGGGGCAGGTGTGGAGCCTCCGTGGGGGTTGGCTCCCACAGTCAAGCACGCTGGGAGGAAGAAAGAGCATTTGGAGGGGAGGCTTAGGCTTAGCGCTGGGAACCATGGCACAGCCGGTTGGTCCCCCTCCCAGGGACCTTCAGCCTACCGTGTGTGGGCACTTCCCACGCACAAGGACAGTGAGAGGGCAGCCTAGGGGATGCACATCCCTGGGGCAGC